AAAAACAAATTAAATATGTAGACAATGACAGAAAATGGAGAAAAGAGAATGTATTTGAAATACAGCACTCTTATTCTTCAGGCAAAGAATATTCTTTGGGCCATACAGAATACAGCACTCTTATTCTTTGGGCAAATTCTTCTTGGGGCAGAATAAGAATTGCACAGGGAATCAATTTTGCCCAGGACAAAATTGGACAAGCATGCTGTAACAGCAAATACAAGAACATGAAATGGAATAGTTGCCTGTGTAATTTTTAGGGGAAAGAAATAATTGATTCTGGTGTTATTTTGATTCTATAAATTTTTGAAATTCATAAGAAAATAAAAGTCAGCAATGCAGTAGACCAGGGGTCAGAATACCTTTTCTTTAAAAAGATAGTAAATATTTTAGTCTATGGGGTCTACCATTACAATGAGTGAACCTTGCCACTACAGCGTGAAAGCAGCTATATACTAATGTAAATGGATAGATATGGCTATATTCCAATAAAACTTCACTTTTGGAGGCTAAAATTTGAACTTCATATGATTTCTACAGGAAACAAAATTTTATCCTTCTTTTGAGTCTTTTTCAAACATTTAAAAATGTAAAACCTATTCTTAGAAATTGGGTCATACAAAAAGAGGCCATGAGTCCTTACTTCGCCAACCCCTGCATTAGACAATAACAGGAATATTATTCATTCATCCTTGTCTTAATTAAAACCATCAAATATGAATAAAGACATTGTAGCCAATAACACATACAAGTATATATGAAAAGCCATAAACTACATATATGGTTACATGAATTCCATGTTTATAAAAAGAGAAAGTAAAACTTAAAAGTCAAATAGATCTGTTCCATCTATGCAACTTTTCATGAAGGCTAAGTGATGTATATAATGTAACATCGCATAAAGGTAACGAGCAATGAAATTTATAACAGAATCTGGTTCCAAGAGTCTGATTTCATAAAGCATTAGGACCATATGTTTATTCTGTCAGAAATAAAAATTAATGGATGAGTGAGGTGAATGTGGTACCAAAACCAGCTAAGCCTACAATTAGGTTTACTATAAATGGTTGGCAGAATAAACTAAAGGAGGAAGGGCAAGGAAATTAAATTTATATCTTTAAAAATTATTGATTGACAGCTCTTCGAAAATTATAATGAAAGGGACATAATGCCACTGTAGATTAACCTGCTGAAAAATGAAGAATTCTGCCAGAAATTATTAAAATGTTCTGTTGCCACAACCACACTAGAAAAGTATGCTAACATTCCTCAACCACAATGGAGGTGTTACAAATGCATCATTCCTTTGTTTTGTCTCATAACGGTAATGATATTGAGAAACCAGTGCCAATATTGCAAATATTGCTAAATACTTTATGCAAATTTCTTTATGATCAGTTTCTGCAAACAGTGCAAGTTTAATCTTTTCTTTTAAGGAGTTATTTTGTCTTAGAAAAAAATTGTGAAAAAAATATGGAGGTTAAAAGTAGCAAAAATCAATAATCCTGAACTCTACATAGGACTTCAATGGTCTGTCTACTAGTCTCTGAAAAACAAACATTCAA